TGATTCTGCTGGGGACTTCCCTTCAGGCGTCTGCGAATTAGGCGTAAGCCTGTATGTTAACAGAAAAGTTTGCAGGACCTCTTGGATTAGTCCGTCTCCTTCCGCTTTGAGCAAAGCCCTCTTGAAAGTATCCACAAATCGTTCAGCTTGCCCATTTGACTGTGGAGGTGAGCGCAAATGCTGCATGCCGTGCACCGCACCGAATTCAGCAAAATGTGGAGAAGTAAATTGGGATCCATCGCCGGATACTATTGTTTCCGGAAAACCGAACCGACTGAATACTTCCCTGAGGACTGTAATTGTAGCCGACGTTGTGTTCGACATTTGGAAGATCTCGGGCCATTTGCTGTATGCATCGATGATAAGTAGACAGTTCTGTCCTTTGACTGGTCCTGCGAAATCAAGGTGAACCCTTGACCATGGTTTCTTGGGCTTTGGCCAGGAGAACAGTTCGCATTTTCGTGGCGATTTTGAGAATCCATAAACGGCTAGTACACATAACTCCTCGCTAGAGCTTTCATCCTGTTCGAACTGGGGTGTCCAGTATGAAATTGAGGTAGGACTTTAGATTGAAGTTCGGCTGGGATGACGACACGTTCACCAAACAAGGTACAGTCTTCGACGACCGATAGTGCATTTCGACTCTGGAACATTTGTTGTAGCTGTGCGTCGGAAAATTTTCGAGGCCACTGTAAGTGGTAAAATGTGCTTACCTGTGAGACAGCAGCCGGTGCCGTAAGGTGGCGTCTCGAATCTGACTGAAATATCATGGAAGCTGGCTCACAGTATCCGAGAGTACACGGTTAACTTCCGTTTCGATTGAGACATTTGCAACGACAGTGTCTTCTGGTTGGTACTGTTCGTCTAACAACCGTGACAGCGCGTCGGTCTGACAAACGTCGCTCGTCCATCGGTACTTGATGTTGAAATTGTACCCCAGCAAAGTTGTCGTCCATCTCTGCAGACGATTTGCCGTATATAGAGGAATTCCTTTCTTCGAGCCGAATGTAGGAAGAAGCGGTTTGTGGTCTTCTAAGGCGGCATTCAGGCCAGTAGAGTAATCTGCAAATAAGCGTATCTTTCTGTGTGGTTTCTTGACCATCACAATGGGGGCTGCGCATAAAGAGAAATTAGTCGGTTTGATAATTCTGATTGACTGTAGTCTGTCAAGTTCTTGGTCGACGATTGAAACCACTGCATATGGAACTGGTCTCTTCGGTCGGAAGAATGGCTTTGCTTCTAGCCGCAGGGAAAGATTGGCCTTGGTTTTCGTGCACAAGCCCAGACCATCATGAAACAGCTGCAGATATTTCCGCTGTAAAGACTCCGTCCACTCTGCAGATGCGTCGCTTACTTTGTTACACACGGAATTCAAGGGAACACCAAGTAGTTTCATACTCTCAATCCAATCGAGACCAAGATGTCGCGCTATGTAGCATACCCATATGAACTGACAATCTCTGAAGATTACAGGACAATAGATTTCACCGGCTAAGTCCAGCGGTCCTCCTGAAGCGTTGGTTATAATCCGAGTTATTCTTTGAACAGGTGGCTCGCCAATTTTCTTCCAAGTTGTCTCGGAAATGAGCGTGATGTCTGAGGCAGTGTCAAGTTGGAGCCGTACGGGCACCTGGTTCACAAGCACTGTTACGAACCTGCGTTTTGCGGTCCTGTATGGAAGGTAGCAAAGATAGGATAAATTTTGTTTTTGTTAACAATGTGGGTACAAACGTCTTGGCAGGGTTTGGTGTAAGCGTTCTTGTTGTAAAGGGTTACAGGGCAATGATCCTCCTTGTGGCCCCGTTTGTTGCATTTATGACAGACATGCCTCTTGAACGGACAGAATTTGACGAAGTGTCATTCGCCACATTGCTAGCATAGTTGATTTCAATGTGTTTTGGACCGTCGCTGTACTCCCGCGCTGGTATGACACCGTCAACACATCCACACGGGCCTTGGACAATCATGTTCGTATCGGGATTCAAGTTGATCAACCTCTGGCATTCGGAAGTGAAGGACATGAGATTGATGGACGGGTCCTGCTCAAATTTATTAAGCGGCCTCGTGAGTATTTCGGCATCCTCGGGCGCTTGGAGACCACAAACGAAAAGAAAGCCTTGAACTGGTTGTCTGACATTTCCCTTAGCTTGAAACGCTCGAAATGACGATTGACGGTACTGGCATAAGTTACAAAATCGTCTGACGCGCACTTAATGAGCTTCATGCAGCTGTATTGGGCACTGGATAAGGAAGACTGTTCACCAATAATGTCATTTGGAAGAGGTACAAGTTAGTCAAAGTTAAAATCTTTGAGGCAGTTTAGCAAAATAAAATTGAGAAACCTGTCATGCACATTGTTTCCCAGCTTCCGCAAAATCAATCTGCACTTCCATCCGTCATCAACATGAGTGAATTCGGACTGGAAAAGGTCTTTGTATCTTCTGAACCAAGATGCGAAGGTTAGGCCGGTATCCGAGTCATACTGAAACTCACCAACGCTGTTGGCAATCGCAACTGCTGATGATTGCCGCATTTCATTGGTTGGTCTTGCTTGACTCACAAAAAGCTGAAAAAGGTTTTCGAGCAATCCTGTCAGGCTTTCGTCAAATTGCTTCTGTTGATGTTGAAGTATTGCGGTAAGTTGCTCCAATGAAAACGACATAGTTCGTCGTAGCTAATCAAACCGTTACCTCCGTCGCCAGTTGTTAAGCCAGACGAAAACAGAAAAACAGAGCTGTGTGATAAGATGGTCATTTGCATAACGGGCAGTCTCAAAAATACCGCAACCGGACGTGCGAGGCACTCGAGGTCACATGAACACAGAATCCAAAGTATCAAGCAATAATTACGGCAGACGGACGCACGCGTTTAGGGTCCAGTTGTGCACATCATTTGGGTCCACTGATCCATTGGTTAGAAAGTGCCCCTCCTAACAGATTCATCTCAGTAAATACGTACAATGTAGCCATAATGTTGAAGCTTACAGCTTGTTTTCAATGATTCCTGACGGGTGTGCTCATGTAAGCCTGTAAAATTCACCTTCTGAGGCGCACATTATTGCAAGTTGTAATTGATGTTAATATTGCGCTACACGATATTTTTTCAGACTTCGTTAGACAAGTTAAAAAGTATCCTTCGTCATCATCTATGATGCCTTTTCATCTACATCTGTGTCATACGCTGAAGTTTTGATTTTTGCAAAATAATGCACATTTCGCTCTCATGGCGCGTAGCCACAGAGTCTGCTGCTATTAGTTTGTTGACTTTCATTCTGAAGTATCCATTACACAAGGTAAGGCTTTCAGCATGATTCCGCATTTTTAGATGCCATAACTCAACTACAAGAGAAATTACAAGAGTACTTGCCAAACTTTATGTATTTCTTGTAAATTGTTGTCTATATTTTTTAAGGTATTCTTTGATAGATATTATTTATTTACTGGTAAACATTTCGTAGTCGTTTCTTGCTTACTATGATACTATGGTTATTTTATTTCCTCTCTGGGTCAAGTGTATACTGAAACCTCTGAACATATTTCAATCGACTGATGAAGTTGGATTGCGCGTCAGCGGGAGATTGAAAGACTGATTCGGCTACTGAAGCCACATTTTCGTCTTCTAGACAAACTGCGTTGGTTCAGATTGACGGGACATCAGCTAACGGAGAATCTAACCGCAGTACATTCTTCTGCACTTCTCCATGAACAACGTATATATACGAAATCGTGACGAACACCACATTATACATCTTTCCATCCTATATGTTGAGGGGATTTATGAAGAAAAGCTGTATACCTGTTGATCTATCCCTATGTGGGGATAGTCTCTCGCACTGTCGAGCAATAAATGATGTATTTTACAAAAGCTGAATCCGTGATTGGCCAACATGATGACGAGGGACAGTGAGTGTTCGCGATGAGGTGGTGTAGTGGATGCCAAGAAGGAGGGCGCGGTGAAACCTACGGTTTGCTTTTTAAATAGGAGTGCTCATCTGTCATGACGCAACTAACTAGGACCAAGAAGTTTTAAGCAGGGATCGCTGGCTCGCATACCACAGTGATTGCCAATTGGGGTTGCGGACTCAATGCGATTGGATCCGAGAGCTGCAGCCACAATCGCGCAGTATGCCTGCAAGCAGGTAGAGCGCACATGGTATAGCCAGCAGGTGCGCGATAGCAGACACGCTTTACGCAGTGTACGGAAATACAGCTTGCCACCGCTACCTTTTTTGGGGAACCGGCCACATACACTCAAACTGCGTCATAATTCAACTCGAGAGTGCAGCAACGAGTAGACGAAAGGTTAGAACAAGCATGTGCTCCAATTTCTTCCTGGTCAGATATATCTGTCAGTTGAATAACCTACCAAACGCACTTCAAAGAAAATCGTAAGGTATACGCCGTAACGGCGCTTCGCTGCCACGCGACCACCACCAGTCGCGTGAGGGCTGAGTATACCGCGAGAACGCCTACCCCTACGCGGATTCGAACCGGTGACCTTATGGTTGCAAACCAGGCGCAGACCACTCGGCCACTTGCCGACTAATCACACGCAGGTCATGTGACAATGCGGTAACTTTCAGTAACAAGCTCGCAAGTTACCTTGACCTGAATACAAAAGTGATAATATTCACTTGGAGAGAGCACATCGACGAACTATTTCAAGGAGCCCAAAAATACATAAACATCCAAGTTTCCAAAACTTGCCTTTCGACTCGGAAATCCACTACATCGCCATGGCGACCAGTCAGAAACATCCCCAAAGATCTCTCCAATGAGCAATGTACCTATGTACGAAGCTGTAAATGATGACCGTGTCCAAGGCAACCACTTTTGTAGGTCCCTTGAGTGGTCGCCTTAGACAGGTTTGACTGTACATAGATCTCATGCGAGAGCATGGTTACTTTTGTACATATTGATTCGCACCGCTACAGACAGTTCTTCGAACCATGAGAAATACTGTTATAACTCAGAAACTACAACGGGAGAAAGCAAAAATACCTCGGCCTCCTGCGGTTGCAAAGGGAACGCGGGCCACTGCGTTCTCTGTGGTTGTATCCATCACCGAGCGTCCCGATAGGTCAGCAACACTGACCACCAAACTAAGAGTCTGTCGACCGAGATCACCGGGCAGATTTGTCTGATCAGTAAGGACACTACGATTAGCGGCGGCGTTAGACTGCATGGGCCTGGAGGCAAACTCCGCACGACGAGCTTCCAGCGCACACAACTGTGTTGGTGTCATAGACCAGGAGTACAATGGATCGTGAAGAAGAACCTGAACACAGCGCGAAATAAAAGGTGAAAAAATATAAACGACAGGAGATCAGCAGTGCAATAGAGCTTAGACAACTCAAAGTTAGTTTGTAGCCGCAAACATGGCCTAACGTTAAGTCAGCAAGTCGTGGAGGAGAACTCACTTGTAACAGAGTCAATATCACGTCGCTGGCATTTCGAAGCTCAGTCAACACGATTTCAGCCGCTGGGATGAATGCGCCTTCCAGTCCGAGAGGTCCGAGTGCATGGACTAGATCCCGTGTGAGTCGGAAAGGGACCGCTTCGGGAGTTGGAAGCAGACGACCCTAGAAAATACAGGCACGTTTGAGCACGCGGCACCAAGATAGGTACCGCAAATCAGGTTAAATAATGAAGAGTATACGAAGCTAGGGGATTAAGCGTGCACGTATGTGGTCAACCCAATGATCCAAATAACCGTTTGGCAATGACAACCTTACAGTATTGCCTGTAAACATTCGAATTAGTAGGGATGTCGATTTCATACGGGCGGCGCAACTGTGCACAACCGTTGTGGTTAAGCATTACATTCGCATCGTGAGCGAATGCGCATGTTCAGCGACTGGAGTGCATGCGATCGACACTCTCAATCTGGCCAATGTCCGCTGGTGCCACCGGCAGATAGGGAACTGAGTATGCAGCAGGCAAAATTCATGCAGAAGTTGCGAGTGTGATTGCGGTGACCCAATACGATCCACGATGGTGATGGGGAGGCGTCGATGGGATACCTTGACCTACCGAGCAATACACAAACTGCTCCAGCATTTTTAGAACTTTCGAAGGCAGATTCTGGGATGCCTAAACTATCCAGACCATTGCCGTGCGCCATACAAGTGCGACAAGGCGAAAAAGGGGATCCCTTCCAGCTTCTCGTGCGGGTTACAACATTCAGGTTCGCTTGATCTAACAATTATAACGGTCTGTAAAGGACAGGCATGCAGGTTGACGTAATACACTGATCGACACGCGCTCACTATCCGTCAGTCACCATGGCCACGTGTGGCTAAAACGAGGAGGAAGATGGGTGCTTCAGGCTGGAACCACTTCGTGTCATCTGATGACCGTTTGCAACCTAACATCCCTTGGGCTTGGATAAAATAGTCAACTGTTGGAAATTACGGGGAAATCAGGCGTACGACAGATTCACAACTTCGGGATTACAAACTGAGAGTGGTGAGCGGTAGTTTCTGCGCACAAACAGTCAAGCACTGCCGGATGGTGGATAAAACATCAGCAAACGTAAGTATTCTTGCTTTTTAATTACGACGGATTACTGTGCATTATGAGTAGGAGCCAATCCGACGGCCCATTTTGAGTGGAGATTCTGTGACTTAACAAGGTCAACAGTCTACAATGGTGACATCCTAGCTGTTGATAACGCTTCCTAGAACGTGCTTCCAACTCGGTTACTCGGTGAAGTGGATGGGATCACGAGGCTTCATCACACTACACAATGTTGATCCAGTCAAATGATCTTGACCGAAGGGAAAAATAGGGAAGAGGAGACAGTGAATAGTCGTTGTGGGTTTAAACGTCTACAGACTGAGAAACAACGCCGGGGGTTCAGGCTAGATGAGCACGATTCAAAGACGGCAACGTCCTTGAACCAGATGTGTTTCCGTCTTTGTTGACTCATTGTACAACCAAAAACCTTGATCTACAGATAAGATGAATCGCAGAAGTGGGTCCCTTGGGATAAAGCGTTGCATATAATCAGGACAGATAAGCGAAGGCGGTAGCAGAGCTGACCCACAAATTGATGCGATATATATTACTCGGCTGCTTCTATGAGTTACAGTTTCGGATTTACAAGGTTCTTCCTCTGACCCGGCTAAATGGAATATGGGTAATTTAGTGCAGCGTGGACAAACGCCAACCAACTAGCGTAGCCGCGTAATGGACGATAGTGCTTGATGAGTGAAATGTCCGGGTCCGTTACATTCATTTCCAATTGGCCGTTTGGTTCGCTCCTTGGATGCACCAGTTCACTACAAATGGATACTCTCGTCAGAGTGGTAAGTGATCCTAATAGGAAGGGACAACCAGAGCAGCACCGATGACAACGCGTTGCTTGGATGCTCAAACTCTCCAGACAGTACTGTTTGAACTGGAATCGTCAAATCGGCTACCGAATATCAGCGATTGAGGGCGGAAACACCTTAAGCCTAGTTAACACTGTTCCATCGAATTGACAGCCACAGTAACTGAGATACTCGGCATAATATGAAAATACACCCCAATCGAGCTGACAAACGCCGTCTGACCAAGATCGAACAGAAGGGAAGGTCAGCCGACAGAGAGAATGATTATGTGGACCGCTAGCCTGTGAGAAATTATCCCGACCCATAAAAGGCTAGCTGTTCGCAACACAAGTTGCGGAGAAGGGGACAGAGAAGGGGAAAATAACAAATCTCAAATGGTTTCACGTGGAAGGTGCTTCTTAATGAATCTAGCACGTTTTAATAGACCCACTGGAGTGTGTGTGAATTCGGATCAAGTTAGTCTGTTCGATCATGTCTGCCACCCGACTGACTCAGTGTGTACATCTTAGGGATACTGTGTCTGGTTGGGCGGAATCCGGAGTTAGCCAGTCAATGAGATCGCAAGAGAGCATGAGAAAATTCGCTGAAAGATTAGGTCACAACAATGATTGGATGCCCTGTCGTATATGACATATTGGCCACTAGCTTACAACTTTTAAACCATTCCACCTGACGATTTAAGTTCTTCTACAGTTCTCTCGCTATTAGTATTAATAGCAACACCTGGCAACGCGAGTCAAGGCGACTAAATACACCTCCCCTAGGTGTACGGGTCATAGTTGAGAAACAGAACCCAAATGGACCGGAAGTAGCGACTTCATTTGCACAAGTTGCTGTAAATGAACCCATTTAGGGTTTATAAAGCTTAGTTTGACGACTTGTACTGTCATCCAGGGTAACCAGTGGGCATACCAAGGTCGATGAACCCCACGGGTGTAGCAAGTTGTGAAAATTGCGAGAGAAGAAATTCAGTACACGCAAAGTATTGGTACCAAAAGGTTCATCATCATCATCATCATACACGTTAGCTAGAGGTGGGAAACACCTCAGCTACTGTGCCGCAATACAAAGAAAAAAGGAGAGAAAAAAACTGGTGAAAGCTGGCTGAGCTACCGGTAACGGATGGACATCGTTCCGGTGAGCTACCAGCCGGCTGCTGTGCACCCAAAAAATTTTTATGCAAAATTATATAAGGCTAAGTAATGAGATCGTGGTTGGAGGGGGAGGCTAAGAGGGATGGGGTGGGACAAGGAAACTCACAGCACGAACGCCACTGAGGTCGGCTCCTTGCCATATCAGCAAGTGTGTCCAGCCAAACGTGTTCATCGTCTTTCGGACCCCAACCAGGGAGCCGAGACGCTCCAACCGAGGCCAGCTTCGAAGTGAGGGTCTTCATTCCTCTCGATCAAGTCGTCGCTTGGCCACCCCTCCTCTTCTTCCATCCACACCCCCGGCGCGCAAACAACACACATCGCGGAAGTCGGTGGGCTGGCATGCGTAACACGTGGCCGAGCCATCGGAGCCTGATGCGTGAAATAACGGTGCTGAGCGGTTCAGTTCCTTTTCCTGTGCCATAAACAAGGCGTCGAACACGCTCGTTACTCACGCGGTGTTCCCACCAAACGTGAGCTAAATTACGAAGGCACCGGTAGTCGAACGTAACTAGCCTCTTCAGATCCGCTGCTTTAAGCGGTCAGGTTTCACAACCGTACAATAGGGTCGAACGTACTGCTGCATTGTACACTCTACCCTTCAGGGCGAGAGTGATGTCGCGCCGGCACCATAAGTGGCGAAGGTTAGCAAAAGCGCCCCGAGCTTTTGCTATACGATTCGTGATATCATCTTCAATCCCACAGGCGCTGATACAACTTCCCAGGTAGTTGAATGTTTGAACGACTTCTAGCTGATCCCCACCAAGGGTCAGCGTAGGAGGCGGTCCAGACCAATCTTGGAGAAACGCTTTGCACTTCGAGGGTGCGAAGCAAAGCCCGAAGTGACGCACAGCTAGTGCTAATCTGTCCAGTGCCGCTTGGCACGTTTGTGAGCTGTCACAGATGAGGGCAATATCATCAGCATACTCTAAATCAAGAAGTCGTTCTCCTGGGAGTAGCTCCACACCTTCCAAGTCGTGTCCTGTAAACGCGATTTCCATGACTTCGTCAACAGCGAAGTTGAAGAGGAAAGGTGACAGCTGGCATCCTTGTCTCACGCCGCTGGAGATATTAAAGGGCGACGACAACTTGCCGTAAGCCCTCACTCTGCCCGAGCTACGAGCATATAATGCTCGGATAATATTCACATATTTCTCAGGTACACCTTTCCTGAGTAGACAGTCCCAAAGTGCATGTCTATCCACCGAATCGAATGCACCTTTGATATCAAGGAACAAGACAACGGTGGACCGCCGATATATGTGACGGTGCTCCAACAACTGACGCAAGGTGAAGATGTGGTCAATGCAACTACGACCTCGACGAAATCCAGCTTGCTCTTCACGAATCTGGCTTTCACGAGTGTCAGTCAGTCTGTGAAGGATGACAGAGGCAAGCAATTTGGACGCGATGGAGACCAGACTGATTCCTCTATGGCTGCCGCATTCCGATCGTGAGCCTCCCTTGAAAATTGGGACTATGATGGAGCGGCTCCAATCGGTTGGGATAGTTTCCTGCTCCTACAGTCTCACTAGTAACTCGTGTAAATCATTCACAAGAGCAGGTCCCCCGAATTTGAAAAGGGCTGGAGGAAGGTCATCAGGTCCCGCGGCTTTATTTAACTTCAACAGTTTGATCTCATGTTCGACTTCTGAGCGAGAGGGTGGATCCAAAGGAACAGCCCACGGAGCAGGGCGATCACTGGTCGGCGAGAAATCTAACAATTCCGACCGATTAAATTGCCTTTCAAAGTGCTCAGCTCAACGTTCCAGGCGTTTTGATAAATTGTGGATGGGTTGTCCACTCTCGTCACGTATAGTTTCACTAACACCAGGTCTCCTGCTGCCCGTTTCCCGTATAAGACGGAATAACTCACGATGGTTACCAAGGGCAGCGGCCATTTCCATCTCTGTTGCACGACGAGACCACCAGGATTCGCGGTCTCTCTTCAGGCTAGCACAGAGTTTTGCCCGGAGCTCTTTGCGAGTTTCATTGTGTTCGCTTCCAGCCGGAATATGCCGGCGAGCATCTACCAAAAGGTTACTGAATACTGGTTAGAAGCAGCAAGTAGAGTTTGCTCTGTGTAGCTGCATCAATCGTCACTCATAGACAAATACCCGTTATGTTGTGTTCCGCTCAATATATTTTGCGTCTGCAAAGTGTTTGTCAAGGAACTTCTTAAATTCCAACACTGACTTTGCCTCAACTACGTGCTGCGGCAGGTCGTTCCATAAATTCACCATTCTACGTTCGAAACAGAGTTGGTGAGCGACCCGCTTCAAATCCGGTACGTTAAAATGATTACAAGGACGTCGATTGTATCCTGAGTCGCGTTTTTATTCGTAGTAAGGTGTTCACACTTTCATCCAGGGAGTAGGACCGAGGGCGAGGGGACAGAACAAGACGTAAATGGGCCTGAGACCATTAAGACAAAATCGGAAGTGCGGGAACATCGATCCTGTGAGGCACCTCCCACTTCGACACGTACAATAGTCTGGCCAGAGATGAAATAAGCCAGTCAACTGAGTGCCGCACCCGCGTAGTCTTGTATAATGACCGACACCAATGATCCACTTCGAACTCGAGTATGCTTCCTATCAACAAGAAAGGTAAGGAAAAGTGCGGTTGAGGAACGTGGGCAGGCGACTCGCAGGTTATGCAGCTACTTTCATAGCCTGCACAAGCGCCCCGGATGAGTTGGTTCGTTTGTTCACAGCGAATCATCTGATTGGAGTGGGCGAGAGATAAAATCCGCACAGGTGTGCGACCGGATGACGACTCACAGAGAACAGAGACACAAAGTTGGAAATTCTAGCACGATCGACGAAGCTTCAGGTTGGAAATATGAGAAAACGTGTGGCGAAAAGTCGAGCAGTTTGGCACGGGACGGAAGACAGGATTGGCCTTCAGAACTACGACTCTTGCGAGCCGTCACGAATCGAGGTGGCATATAAACTGCTAAGGCGATTAGTTATCGGAGTGTCCTATCCGTCAACGCTCTCATGCAGAGAATGTACCTAACTGATGAGAAAAACAGCGAAGGCATACACGGTACGCGCGGGAGAAGCTCTACGTTAACATCTACCTATTTTTAAAGCAAACCAGGTTGGAAAACGGTGAAACTAAAATTTGTAGTCATGTAAAGTGGACCACAGCTGCTTGCTTGTTGCTGGACATGGCCAGATGAGAGGCATATGGATATTTCGCTGCTGTACCTGAAAGGAAAACTAACCGGAAGATATCCCACTTTTAGCGAAAGGCATTTACAAAGCAAGTGTGTGTTAAATGACCCGATGAGTCGTGTTGATGATCAATGGATCCAAATCAGTTGTGGGCACGTGAAGAATTGTGAACTTACCTGGTCAAATGCTACACCCAAATCGATGTGAATCAGTTCACCTGAGCTTCGATGTAGTAAGAGATTTTGTGGATGGCGATCCCCTAAACCGACCAGGTATCCAACGAGGCTGGACGCAGCCAACGATCGCGTGTATGCGTAGCGAGCGCGACACCACGACTGGGGATCACGGAAATTTTCCAAATAAAAGTAAGCAAGAACGGGGCTTGAGGAAAGGGACAAAAAGTGGAGCATCAACAAAAAAAATCGAGTAATGAAAATGGGACACGATGGGTGAGCCAAATGTAAGGGAAGAAGTCGGCGCTACGTGTGGGTGGGAAACACTAAATATATCTTCCCAGTGTAGATTTACGATTATATCAGACCGACCAAAAACAGACGTGAAGCAGCGCTTGTACGTTCGCAACATGATGTCCAATTAGACGAATAACAGAGGAGCAATACCTTTAAAAGCCATTCGGTGGAGTTGATGCCTCTCTCGGAACTTCGATGGCGGTGAGCGGTCCACGAGCAGTAGTGCTGTGAGACCGGATATGCAGCTAGTACTGGTTGGATTCAGAACCTTGGACTGATAACGGACAGACGTGCAAGGAGAATGTGAAATGGCCCGGATGCACCGAACAGAGAGTGAACAGGGAGAAAAGAATGACGGGCAATGCGATTTCGCAGTCACCAGACACGGGTGTTGACAAGAGGCTAAGCAGTCGAGTTCGATGCGTCAATCGAACAATGGCCACCGAATCGGGGAGGGTGTGGGGATGTGTCAGCAAGTAACTCAATAAGCTCGATCGAGTAATGCTCCTGCGGTATTTCAAAGAATTCGCTACGGAAGCAACGACTAGTAGAAGCGCAAACGGATGAACATAGAAAGTGAACCGAAAGTCAGTACGGAGGACAAAGAATCGCGTTTGCACAAACCTGAGTTTTTCACAAATCTCATCGAACACCACTCGACGACGCTCTGGTGGTCGGTCGCGAACTGCCGCCAGTTTTTGTCTCGCTTGCCCAGGGGGCATATCTCGTGGACGATAGCGTTGATGTGCTCCAGATCGATCTGCTGCTAGCCACTCACCGAGGGGAACCGTGTTTTCACACCATTCAATGACTCCAGTGCGTTGGGCCATCGGAATGACCTATGTGATGGGAAATTGGAGTGTTACTGAACCCAAAGGATGCCAAATCGGTTGTGAGAAATGTATAAGGTCATGTGCTCACTTTGTAAGTGTGAATACGCAATCCGCCATCGATATCCATCCAGCTGCAATTCTGGGATGAGTCCGAGTTCGGGGAGTACGATGTGCGAGCACCTGGAATCTGATGCGAGCCACGTTTTGAGAGCAAACGGTTCGCGGCTGCGAAAACCTATAAGTGTGACAAAACCAAAGATGTGCATATAGAAGGAGGGGGGGATAGAGGATAGAAACAGACAGGAGAACGGCGGAATAAGTGAGATTGGCGGCCTGAGGAAGTGGCAGTACAGCTTAGGGTGCAGTTCATAGGGAACGGGAACAGAATCGCATTGAAGTCGTGTGGAGAGCAAGGTGACCGGGCTAGAGTCATTGTAACATGTGCAGCGGCAATAGATGGGCTGCTTCCGGTTAGAGTTGGTTTGTGACGAAAAGTAAAACCACAACGCTCAGGAAAATTAAGCCGTCTTTGCACTTGGTGCTTTTTATCGCGGGTGAACACAATGGTGAACGTGGAGCCTGGATCAAAGCAGACGCCCGTATCGCAGCGCCAAATAGACTTAGCTGTTGGAAGCATTCACATATTAGATATAGGCGGTGGGAGGGGGCGCGGCAAAAATTATACTGATGCTCAATTGTGGCGTGCTTATCCGAGAAAGAAAATGCGAGTGGACGGAAACCTTCGAATAAAAAGACTCATGAGAATGATATGGACTTGATTCACGACGATTGTAAGTGGAAAGACACTAAGTCTCAGAGTGGTAACACAGTGAGATAAGGAGATAGAATATGCTGAGCGAATTCCATGGGTTTTGTTGTCAGCTTCCATGATCAGCTCGTGTCTGAGAGAAAACTTCATACGAATAGTATGGAACAGATACACCAGTCAATAAGTAGCCGCACGAAGGTTAACGGAATCAGCTATCAGGCGTCACCCTGTGTTCCAAAACACCAGGTGTGTCATTGAATCAAGCACGATATAGGACATAATACCGGAGCGATCCTTTCCATAGATAAATAACAGAAGACCGCCTCAATTAAGGCGACCATATGATAAGGGTATAAAGTTGGCGGCATCCGTTTTCGGATTGGCCTGCTTTGGAAATTGTAAACAACCAAGGGATGCCTGAGCCTACAGAGGGAGCATGGGTGGCTTGCGCTGCACCACCCACAAAACCCATATTCAGTGTAAACCTGAAGGACCGGGAGACATGTGAATTGGAGCCATGTTACATCAACGGAGCCGACCCACACTCCTTCAACTTGCACATCAGACATCTGAAGAGGGGGTATACCAGGTACAGTAGAAGTACACATGGCGTGGCTGCGCCGTAACGCGTTCCACAGCGGATAGAACCATTTTCGAGGCTAGCACTGTCACAAAGACAGTGCACTCCGTCTCTCCTGATCTTCTCCTCCTAATCATCATCCTCAACTACTGTACATCAGCCACTTGAACTGGTGTTTCGCTGTCAAGCCGACTTGTAGTCTTAAGGATCACAAGCTTGCTTTGTAATCCGAGGGCGCAGATTCCAGACTGCGTAGGAGACCAGACGACCCTCGTAGTATTCTTAGCGCACGCGAGACTGTTGGTGGTTGCAAGGCAGAGAAGCGTCGGCACTACGTACCGGCGTACTACTGATGCCTTCCTTTTCTTCCGCTGCCGTACAATCACAACGATCTACGGAACGAAGAATATGAGGGAGAGAAGGAGGATCTAACCTAAAACCTCAATGTCCTAAGCAAAAAGTCTGGGTCAACTGGCTTACATCTTGTCAACAACATACCGTCGCAAACAGCTGGGCCAAAGGACCAGAGAGCGCTACTAATTGGCTTTCTCATGACGCCTGGTTTCCTGGTAGCAATAGTGGGGATCAATTGGAAGTATTTGCGGTAACTGCCTACTGCTCCCATCTCCTTCATTTCATGAACCCGACTGGTATACTTGACTTCCTGGCAAGCATACAGGCTGCGCTTTAATTCGCGCCTAATAGTCCGCCTGGTTACACTGCCTCTAGAACCGACTGAAGACGTTTTCTGGATTCCAACAAGTTCATCGAACTCGCGGATATCTAGTGACTGGTGTGGTGACGATCGACAGTGTCGCAAGCAGAGACTCCCGTATTATGAATAGCGGCCAAGATACTAAAACTCAGCGCCGTTAGGGCGACAGAGTGAAATTTAAGTACGTAGGGCATCCTGGTACGCCTGCCTGACCAAGGCTGCATGGTACAGGGCAGTGTCTTAGGTCCGTTACTCTTCCTACTGTATATAAATGACCTCGTTTCCGTTATACAACTTGGGAAGCCTTATTTACTTGTTGCTGATTTAAAGGTGGTTTACACGTTCCCAGGTTCTCAGAGTACCGTTGAACTTAACAATATCCAAAGCGACTTGAAAGCCATTGAGAGATGGGCTGACATTTGGCAGATGACGTTTGCAACATCGAAGGGTAGTATACTAGCGTACGGATGTCAGATAGCAGCAGAAGTGTTCAGGCTTCATGACGAAGTTATTCTTATCAGCCAGTCTGTTCGTGACTTAGGTTGAAGATATTCTAGTTCGTTCAACTTTCGCGAACATATAAATCATATCGTGAAAAATGCTAAGCAGTCGATCGGGCTCATATACCACCTGCTAACCTTGAAAGAAACCAGACTACTTGCTTTCAAAATCAGTATCAGGCCTTTGCTTGAATATTGCTGTGTTATGTTCAGTAACTTGCGAAAGGCTGACTTGAGAGCCATTGAAAACGTCCAACACGCCTTTACGAAGCGCATATTTGGCTATTCAACCGCTCTTTCATACAGATAGGTGCAAGTAGTTGAATCCTGAACCTCTGTGGTTACGAAGAATGCAATTAAATCTGTGCTTCCTCCACAAACTCGCTTGGCGGAAAGCATATGTTAGAACCTATCAATTACACTTTCGGGAAAATACCAGTTATGAACTGCGAGATAGTAAATGTATATTCTCTTTAGCTAAATTTAAGATCAGCCTAAGGAGGAATTTCTACCTTCTTAGGTATGGCTCTATATGGAATAAGCTGCCAAAAGAGATTAGATGTATTGAACATTTTTGCATGTTCAAGAAAATGATAAAGGTTTATCTGTCAACGGACAGAGTGAAATGGATCTTAAAAACCCAACTTGATGATGAAAAGCCGTATGAAGAAGGGCCGGATCATGTATGATAACGGAGAACATCGACTCGAATGCACTAGAGAAAACATGATCATCTAGAATGAGCTGCTACAAACCGCTTCTTATGCTATTCTTTAATGCTACCTCCTATGCGGTTTTACTCCTTTCAAACTTGATTCATACCAACTGTCTTCTGTTTAAAACCGAGATCAAAATTATTTACTAGTGTGGCATCATGAACTATTTTCGTAATTTTCCCCACAAATTTATTAATTCGTAATATTGTTCTGCGATCCCCTTCGCTACATTGGTTCTGCAGTGTTAATCATTTCCCCTTCTTTTCTGGAGTCAACAGTCCAGAAACATATACTTGAGTTCAGTGATGGCAATAACTGATTCCCTATGTGACTTTTGCCTATGGACAACTCGTACAGTTATCTGTCTCCGGCTGTCACGCCACACAATTTGATCGTATGATCGGCTCGATCCATTTTTACGCTGATGTAAAATACACACCTGCCTACTTTTTTACACTAACGATATAATACCTCTTTAACATAATTCTTCTTTTCTACATTCTTCCTTATTTCATTGTTGGCCACGACTGGGCTGATCTCCTGTGGTGACGGATTATAGCTTCCAGATTATAAAAGAGTTTACCTATGCAAGGCACATTGCCACAAATTGACTGGCGTATAAAAAGTGCCATAATTGAATGATCCGCATGACGGACTGGGCTGGGGCTTCATCGCTTATAATACAGGTATAAAAGCAGCCCTAAAAAGAGCAGAACATATGATAAACAGGTGATGGGTCATATGCTACTATGCCACACCGGCACGCGGCCAGGTATAGCATGGAAGTGCGGGCGAAACCTTTCGAGGGAATACCTTGCATGGAAGCAAGTTCCCTGGGGGCGGTTCCACGTGTGCTCTTATTACTTTAACTGGACATCTGTTTAAATCTGCATATGTTATTGTTCCTGGTTTTTTAATTTCTTTAATACCTTAATCCTGCCAATTACTTTAACACCTGTTTTGGACCCATTGGAAAAAGCGTGAACAAATTGATTATTTTTTTGCGATCCTGTTGTACACACTGATCAGGCCACATAGTTGGACTGCACCTCGAAGCACCGAGGAACATACCACTTATTTATTTTATTTATTTAACTTCTCATTACTCAACCGATGATAGCGTTTGGCAGGCTACTCGGTAAAATGCATGGAAAAACGACAACGTACAGGGTCGACGCAGGTACTCCTGAAGGAGCGATCATCCGGGATGGAATCAAGCTACCCGTAACGTATGGCAAGGTGACCTATTTGGATCTATCACTGGCCAGGTATAGGGGGACGCCAAGTGGCACTCGGGGCTCATTGTGTCTAAAAACGGTGCTACTAAGGAACAGGCAGTGCTCCGCGCACAGTTGCAACTGACACTCGCAGCTATCCGTCCGGTCGGAGTTAAATCCATACCATACGCCCTACAAGAGAATCGCTCCGATAACGGAACCAGACTTTTCATTTTGTGTGAAGACAATGGTCTAGTTCTCGTAAGCACCAACTACAGACACCCGATGATACGTGCTGCCACTTGCTTCAACAATGCAGGCTTGATCTCAAATAGACCATACTGGAATCAGTTTCAGGTGGTGAGCTACCATTTAGGAGGGTAGATCATTTTGGTCTACTTATCTTGATTCTGATAACGCACTGGTTTGTGCGGACATTTGCGTGCGCTTTGGGGATTCCCACAAACGGAAGCACTGTAAAGTTGATATGAACAAGCTAGTAGCTGATCCGTCGACTCAGATGAACGACCAATCGTCATCAGAAAACGCTTTAGCTTGTGCTCCTCCCACTGACGTCAACATGCATTAGAACTTCTTGGAGAATACGATGCTACCTTCTGGCCAATCGGTCTGCGGATTCACTCATTACCCCGCAAAGAGTTGGATCTCAGTGCTCCTCGACACTGTTCGACCGTACCCACATAACTCCAATCAGAATGAACTTCGCCGCGCTATCAG